TTGTGCTGGGCATATCACACCACTTTGGTTTGATTCATCCAAAAAACAAGATGGATGTACAATAATGAGGGTCTTCAGAGAGAAAAAGCAAGGCTAATCCTGCCTCCTTTCTGAAATTTTATTGGTCTTCAGTGAGGATAAGCAAAGTTAACATCTCTGCCGAAACCACACAGCTTGGACACAGACTGTTTGGACTTTTACCTTAAGGTTGGCACTAGGGATGCACGATATAATCGGCCCCCTATCGGTATCGGCCTGTATCAGCCTTAAAACTGGCCGCCCTACAGATATTTATACTGATATTTGATCATCTTCTGAGTTTCTAAAGTCAAAAAAAAAAAAAAATACTACTTCTTCTTCTACCTCAAAAAAATTCTTTTTTACAGACTTAAAAACTTCTAAAGACAAGGGAAAAATATTGATACATTAAAACTTCACAATATCTTCCTATGCTGATATATTGCCATTTAAAAACACCATATCAATCTCTTTTACTAATGAAATATTGCTAAATGTCATCGTTATGCTACGAAATCCCCCGAAAATTCACAAAATTGTTGCCACATTTTTATATGTTGATATATTGACACGGCATCGATCTATTTTACTAACAAAATCTCACAAGAATTTGCAAAATATCATGAGAGTTTGTTACAGAACGATGAAATTTCACGAGATTTTTAAAGTAAAATAGATCGATACCGCGTTTTTAAAAAAGTTTTAAAATATCGGCATATCGGATATCGGCCAAAATCCCAATATCGTGCATCTCTAGTTGGCACAACAGAACACCATTTGCAAAGACCTACCGCCACAGGAGACTGTTTTCTCCTCTCAGCTATGTCTCTGATGAAAACAATGAATATCATCCTGCCAGAGTCTGCTACTCTATTATAAAACTAAATAAGCCTTTATCTATTACACTTTAGTCTTTCTTTTGTAAAAACAACGAATGTATATACAGATTCACACGTTATGTCATTTTATCCTTTATAGTTTATATATTTACACCTATTTTCTGTAGGCTGTTAGCATTTGAAACCAAAGTCAAATTCCTTGTTTATTTAAAACTGGTAAACATA